GGCGGCTCCCCGCTTATGCTAATGAAGCCCGGGAAATTCAAATCCCGGGCTTCATTAGCAAGTGCGGTATGCATACATTACCCTCCTAGTTCGAACTAGGAGGGTAGTGTAGACATACCCTCAGAGGGGTAGCTGTGTTAGTCTGTATCTGCCATTGATCTGTGCAGAAATTGACCTGTGGCCAATGGGGAGCTGCCTGTTTGAAGAACAGGCAGTGCAAAGTATTGTTACCCTCCTCCCCTCGCTCTTGCAACTGTTCATGGATGCACATGACCCTGTAGCCGACTGCTCTGAGCAGCCCGCCGGGGCCTGAAAGGCAGGAAACCTGCTGGGTTGCTGGCTAGGAGTCGCCCAGGTAAGCGTCTACCTACCTCTGGCAGTCCAGCCCATCTCTACTCCCAATTTTCTGCTCACCTACTACTGTCCTTCTATCCCACATAACCCAAACTTTCTGCTCCCCTCCTGCACCAATACTCCCTCCTAGACCCTGCATCCCAATCCCTTGCCACAGGTCAAAATCTCCTCCTGCTCTAGGTCACAACCCAAACCCCTGAACCCCATTCTGTACCCCAGTTCTCTGCCCAGGTCACAATTCCCTCCTTTGCCCAAACTCCGATTTAGATCCCACACCCTCCTCCTGCATCCCAAACCCTTACCCCAAGCTCCCTTCTGCACCCAACCTCCATCCCGGACCCCCACACCTCCTCCATTAATAGCATGGAAGAGTGCAGCCCTTGGCCACTTACCGAATTCTTGGAGTGGCCCCTGCATCAAAAATTATTGTCCACCCTGGCTTATGACCACCTTTACTTATCTGATAGCCAAGAGTTCAGGTGTGTGTGAAGTCCAAATGAGCTTAGACATAACAACCTTGTGCGCTTGTCATCTTGGTTGCTCAGAAAATGGATGCCTTCTTTGTAATTCTCTTTGACAGTCCTTTCCATTCTCTGCTTGTTCCAAAGGTGTCAGAGAGGCCTCTGCATTTATTACTTGGATGAGAAGAAGAATAGGACCCAGCACTGTGGTTATCAATAGTACTGACCAGGCTGAAGCTATCATCAACTCTGACGATTTGGCAGTGCTTGGCTTTTTTAAGGTAAGTCAACAGAAAGTCAAAGGGTATTTTCCCTTTGTAACTAGGACCCACATTTTTTACTACTATCACCAGAAAATTTATTTCCAAAGATGCCTAACTTTGACCTTGAAAAACTAGGCCTACCATTGGCTATTTTTTTTGTCACGCACCTATTCCGGTATGCATTTTTCAACTTGCAAATAGTTGGGTTTATGTAGGGCTAGACTGTAGGTGTAAAGCCTCATTCCTGTGGTATTTTCTCTATGAATATTTGCATAGAGGACTTCCGCCTCAGCAGGAGTGCCTAAAGGTTATGCCTGTGGGGAGACTGCTCCCCATTGAAAACCCCAGCACAGCGGCGTAGAACAGGGCAATAGACTTGCTTTTATTCTATCCCCTTCTTGTTCCCCATGGACAGTTGCCTGTTGCTCCTCAGGAGCCAGGCTTCTGACTACACCAGGTGTTTAAGCAGGGCTACTCACATTCTGATCTCAGGTAGAGAGCCAGCCATCTAATAAACTGATTTGCTTACAAAGGTCTGAATTCTTGCTCTTGTAAAACCAGCAACTTGAACAATTACGGGCTCGGCAAGACTGAAAAACTGACCCTTACCATTTCGTTTAGCTGAAAACCAGCAAATATAATCTATTGCCTTGGGATACATTTTTGGTTTAACTTTATGTAAAGAAGGGAAATGTCTTAGTGGGGTTGGATTCAGATTACTGTAAATTTCTTACAAACTGTAGACTTTAGCTGCTATCGCTATTTCCTGGCTCAAAATTAATAAAATATTATACTGCACATGAGCCAAATCCTGAAGCTCTTACTCAGGAGAAATGTCATCAGTTTCAAGGACTGAAGAAAGAATTAAGGTGTCATGGGGCGGGACTAAAAGCAGCAGCACCTCCTGCTGGTAGCTCCAGGGAATTAGTCTGATCATCAGCAGGGCATCTCCTCTTGGCTAGTGTTTCCCCTGTCCTCATTCCACACTCTACAGAGGTTCTCAGGGAACTGGTCCTGCGCTCTCCCTGGTCAGGACCCGACTGCTCACTCTGCGCTGATCAGCTCCTTATATATCAGGCTGCCTCAGCAAGCTGTCCTCTGGTTGGCTCCTTAAAAGCTCCTCTACAGTTGTCCAGGGTTCTGCACAGGCTCCCTCCTGTCTGTTTTAACCTCCTTCTTGGCCAGTATGGGGCAGCTGCTTCTCTACAAAAGGACTTAGGGATGAAAAATATTAAACACTACATACCACTGCAAAGTAAATATTCAGCAGTGACAAAGTATGAGCTGTTATAGTGTACAATCTAAATAGAGAGGAACAGGATTGAATTTTCTTAATTTTTCATGCTACCATCTATACCTTTAATATAATTAAATCTGACTTTGCATTTTTCTCTGACTAAGCAGGTATTTATTCTTCTGTCTGTTCAGCTATTTTGAACTGCCTATCAGCATGATGTCAGAACACATTCTTAATCTTATCAACCTTGAAGTGCCTCTTCTATAACGGGCTATAATTTATACTACAACTTTTACTGATGGGGCAACTTGGTGGGGTAACTGAAGTATGTTACTCTCCTAGCATCTTAGGGGAAAAGGCAGGGTATGCATTGAAAACAAAGGGCCAGAAATGAAAATGCTCACCCTAAGAGTTTTGCATCACAAGCAGCCCTACTAAAATCATCCATGAAATAAAGTGCAACTCACCAAAAGACTCATAACCCAGCTCAGGATAATTATGTTGCTGGACTGAGCTGATAGTTAGTGTCTGTAGATGTCTTTGATTGGAATTTGTGAATTCAGCTGGGGAATGAAATGACTATAGACGATCATCAGCATGCGCTACGACACGTCAGAAATACAGCAGGTGGAAGCCAATAAAATAAAACACTGTCAAAAGAAATAAAGAGCCGGATTTGACCTTCTGTTAGTCACAGATTGCTCACTGAATGCAACTGCCAGAATGTGTCGGAAGGTCTCAGCATATAAATTACTATTCATTTAACATGAAATAATTGTCTGATTAACTGGAAGCTGCAGGAGCTGTTGCCTTTCATTATTATTTACTATTAATTGGGGGCTGACAGCATGCGGACTACCCTTCAGAATTGGGAGACGAGATTTCCGCCTTGAAGAGTATCCTATCTAAACATCAGAACTATGCATAACAATTAAACACGTGTCAACAGGCAGGTCCACAGTCAAGCAGAGATCCTTCCTCTCTGGCCTACTGCATGGTAGAGATGAGAAAGTGTGATTGTGTACAGGGTTAACCGATGAGCCTGGGTTCATCAGTTAATCTTCATGGATACATGCAGGCTCCCGGTACGCACAGGGAGCCCACTTAAAAGCTACATGTTTTGTTAGTCTATAAAATGCTACCAGACCATTTGTTGTGTTTTTCACTTAAAAGCTGGCTCTCAGCAGACATTGGCTCCTGGGGAGCCACTTGCCCCCTCCCCCACACTGCTGCCTCTGTAGCAGAGGCAGCAGTATGGGGTGGCAGCATATACGCATGGGGAGCTGGCTTAGAAACCGGCCTCCCACACACACTAGCTCCCAGGGAGCCAACTGCCCCTCCACATGTACCCCTGTAACCACTGAAATTTTTCAGCAGTTACACAGTTTCTTAATTAAACACATTTTAACATCCTTACTACATGGAAGAGGCTCTGTTTGTGTGACTCTACCTAGTGGTGTCAGGATCTGGTGTCCCCAACTGGACAGACCTTCCCAAGGCCAGGACTTGCCAGAGGCACTGGTTGGTTCATGTTGGAAGGAGCAGGATGGGAGTAGAGATCAGGGAGTGCCATATCAATCCCACAGCAGCCCAGCAGATGCTATCTATGAAAAGTCATGCAGTCAGCCCTGCTAGTGGGGGTGTTTACTCCCTTCCCTATACCTCAGAAACCTGCACAAAGTCACCTTCCATCTGCCCTTATCTCCCATCCACACCAGCACAGCAGAGGTTGCCTGTGATTATAAACCACCGCTTTTGCTTTACAGGAACTTCACGGTGGAACAGTGGAAGTTTTCTATGAGACTGCGAGAGATGTGCCAGAGCTGCCTTTCGGGGTGACAGCCAGCGAGGAGGTTTTTGTGAGCTATGGCATCCGAGAGAACACTATTGCTGTGTTCAAGAAGGTAGGAATGTGCGCATGATGGAGATTGTGCAATAGGCTACGACAGAAGCCTGTGCATAGAGAGCAGCTG